TTTTTGATGAAGTGGTTTTATTTGAAAATAATTTTTAAAAAAAAAAATCAAAAGACTTTAAACTATATAGATTTAAATAAAAGTCAAAAACAACAACCTTTAGTGAGAATGTAGCACTACGCAAATTCGATGAACATATTGCAATATCAATTTCTAATCATATTAAGATGGTTCTTCACTAATTTAGATTTCTTTTGAACTAATTTTCTCCGTTGTTATTTCCTTTGACTGTCATTATATATATTCTTTATTTAATCAAAAGAAAATAGTATATAATTATTACTATTTGATATCAATAAGCTAAAAAACCCTTCAAAAGGTCGAGAAAAATATCCTCAGTTCTACTTTTAACTTTTTATACAAAATTAAATAAATAAATTCTGCAAAAAGATTTAATAGAATGATTCACAAGTTTGATTTTGAGAAAATCTAAATTTTAGTGAACAAAAGTTTTCGAAATCTTATCAAGACTATGGCGGCGTTTGTACATATCTAATAACTATATAGTGTTGACAACAATAAATCTTTAGTCTTGATTAGAAATCAAAATTTTAAGCTTTTTCCATTTAGAGGAAAATGACTAATTCTCAACCTTAAGAGTGGTAAAAAAACAACACAATAAATATAAATAATACTATGCTATCTTACGAACTTACTAATTTTATAACCTTTGTAAATATAAAGCATAGATACTAGTCAGTACGATACATAACATAGTAGGATATCTACATATGTAATTTAACAAAGGTGAGTAAAGTAGTTACTAAGTTCGTGAGTAAGCATAACATTACTCATAAATATATGATAAAATTTCATTTTTCTAAAGTATTTAGAATGAAAACAAACAGTGCAAACATAGTAAAAATGAAGTTTTAAATGAAAAAAAAAAAAGCTTCAAGTTGACATTGCAAAGGCAAACTTAGTGGGGTTTATTCGACCCCTTCAACCTTTTAGGTTTAATAATAACAAAACTGTCCCTCTTTCAAAATAACACGAATCCCTTACTGTTGGTGAGCTGTTAGTGTAATGTTAGAATTTACAATATGATGAGTACCTTTTACATTAAAAATATTGAAAATAGATTAAGAATTTATTTTTTTCAGAATATAAGTTTTTAAGTTTCATTAACATTAAATAAAAGTAAAATCTCTAAATTTTGGTGTCATCTCGATAGGCTTTCTTCAACCACCAACTAATACATTATTGTAATAAATGTATTATTTGAAATTACAAAATAGTGGCACCCTATAATTTTATGGGTCTATTCATGAAATGATAGTAAGATAATCAAGAATATGTTGGCACTTTTTACATCAACAAAAGATTCATATTTAAGAGAACATCAAACATGCAAGTTTGCAAGAATGTAAAATAATCAATTAACTATTCATGATCAATCACTTAGGGAGATGATCTACAACATAATAGTAGCAGGATGTTATCCACAACTCAATAATATAGAACCATCTACACGCCAATAAGGTTATGAGTAAAACTGCAACAATCCCTAAGAGCACAATTACATAAGACACAAAAAACTAATATAGAAGATATCCATATCAATGAAATCATTGTCTTCTCCACTAATACTTGAATCTTTTGCTGTGTAAACGGTGATTCAATTGCATTGCAACTTTTGCGCAATGGTTTTCCACAAAGAAATATTTCCCTCATAGCTACCTTCTCAAAGGTTGCAAATTGTGCAATCATATCAGGGATTTTTCCCGATAAATTATTGTGTCCACACTGAAAACAGCCAAATATTTAACTCTACAAGCTGGGAGGGATTTTACCAATCAAATTGTTATATGAAAGATCCAAACTCTCGACCTGCTTAAGATTTGAAAAATGTCGGTGGGATTGGTCCTGTCAAGTTGTTGTGAGAGAGATTAAGTGTGGATTCCAACAAGATTTCCAATTTGATAAGGAATCACACACACAACTACTTATTGCAGAGAGATCAATCCCAGCATGTATGAGAATTTTCCTTGGTAAGAGTAAGATATATTCTTCGTTGAAACTCTAAGTTTCTCCTTCTCATTGAGATTCTTTGGAGCCCCAGGAAAATCAGTAAGGAATCAGAGAGCAGCATGACAATTGTGATATTTAACAAGGAGGGATATGTCCGATAGCTTGTTGTGAGAAAGATCTATCAAGCGTAATTGACTTAACTTACACAAACGAATTGGCACTTCACCTTAAAATGTGTATTACCAAGATAAGGTAAGTTAAATTAGAAAGCGTCCCAATCCAATCGGGAATGTTCCTTTCAAATGATTTAATCCGATATCTAGCGTCGTAGAGAAGAACTATTGGAGAATCCATCATTCATCGTCCTGTAACTTATTTTTGACAAATGACTTGTTTAATTGATGAAGGGGGAAAGCAAAATGGTAAACTCCACTATATTGTTCTCTGAAAGGTCTATACTTCAAGACTTTCTAGTTTGACAAAACTCTGTTGGGATTGAACCTTCAGATGATAATTGACATTATAATATCTTTCCAATGGCATATTTCCTACCACCCTGGTAATGTGCCAACAAGAGGTTATCACTTATATACAACCCTTCCAAAGAGCAATCAGACAAACTATCTGGGATCTTTCCTGTGAAATTATTGCCATCCAATTGCAACTTTAACAAGCTTTTTAGGTTAAATTGTCAGGGAATATTTCACCTGAGGGCTATTATTACATACAAGTAAGAATTGTAGTGAGAAACAACCCATGGCCAAATATGAGAATTCCTCCAATCAAGAAATTGTTGGACATATCCAAACTTCCAATGAGTTATATCACCAATGAAGAGGGAATGCTACCATTTAAAGCATTTCTAGACATGTTTAAAGTTTTTGCACTGGTAATAATCTCCAATTTCCGTTGGAATATGCCCAGGAAGAAATTGATGGATATTCTAATTCTTCCAAAGACAAGTAGGATGAATTGGTAATTGCAAAGCCCCTGAAAGAGATTGTTAACTAGATGAGTTTTTAGTTGGTATTGTGTTTAAACAACCAAACTGGAAACTTTCCGTCAAATTAACGTTTGAGAGATCAACTTCTTGTAGGCATGCTGACTGTAGAGGAATTTGGGAAATGAACCACTATATCCATAAGCGGGTAATACGATGGAATTTAATTGAAAATTTGGAGTCAGGAAATGTGACTCAAATCCTCCATAGATCTCATTATTCTCACCATAAAAGATCTTGATTTGTGAATGTTAAAAAAGGTTCAAGTGAGATCGGGATTTGAAATGATTGTCCGAAAGCCTTAACTCTTGGATGGATGTTAGCATCTTAAGAGGGGATGGGAGATGTCTCCTGTAAAATGATTTAAAGAGATTCTAACTTTGAAGGAGTCAAGTTTGCAAGACACAAGGCAAGGTACCCCCTAAATCATTGTCTTCCATAAGTAACTCTCGGAGATTTACCAAGTTGCAGATTCCTGCAATACACATGTTCTTTTACAGTCACTTTAAAGCATAAGAAGATTATAATTGTGGAAACCATTACTCATAAAATATATGCTTAATATTTTTATAACGTGTATATGTGTACTATCTTTCAAAGTCGACCTAAATTTAATCTATTAACTATAGATCCTTTGATTAATGATCTATATAGTGTTATTTTAAGGGTTGATTAGATATATTTTCTTTTAAATCTAAGATAAATAACATCTGCAAGTAATTTAATCTTTTCATACAATTTTATTATAGTTCATGACTTCACATAGTAGTTCGCAATTCTATTTATATTTTAAAAAAGTTGTTAAAAGAGAGGGGCAATTGTTTAATAAATTTAACGTGCAAGGAAAAGGAGAAGCTGTATACCTTCCTCAAGTACCGAGTCTGTGAAATTACAACCGGATAATGATAAATGCGTGGAGAAGTCAAGGATCCCATGTTTGAGTAAAGTTGAGAGCAGTGAAATCCGTTACAGTTGGCAAATCTACAAACATTACACAAAAATATTGATATAATGAGGTTAAAGAAGATATATCCTATAAGGTAAATTGGATACTAAATCCAATGGCATATTCAAATCAATTACTGGTATATAATAATGTTTTGAGTAAAGTTGAGAGCAGTGAAATCCATTACAGTTGGCAATCTACAAACATTACACAAAAATATTGATATAATGAGGTTAAAGAAGATATATCCTATAAGTAATTGGATACTAAATCCAATGGCATAGTTCAAATCAATACTAGTATTTATAATATAAATATAGTAAAAATAGGTTGATTCAGATGATGCTACGGTTTAATGACACCAACTTTGTTTTTAAGTTATTAAGATCATACAGAAATATAATGAATGAAGTTGAAGAAGATACACTAACAATAACCCAAATAAGTTGATCAACTCAAGTTTGGTTAATGACTAGTATTATATCATATTTAAGGTACCAAATTTTGCTGAGATTTTATGTAATTTTATTTTACTCTATCACTAATCAGTTCATTCGATCATTATTTATCTCCTAAGAAAACATTAGATGTTATAATCTTTCCTAAATATTTTTGGACAATTATCTCTTCCTTAAGAGACTTTCTAGTATAAAACTAATTGAATGTCCCAAACAAATTAACTAATTCTAAATTATAAATTTTATCATTATTAATATTTTAGAAATAATAATATTGTTAATTTTAATTTTAACATTATAATCAAACATTAATGAAGAATAATACATTCGAATATTTTATATTCTAAGAAAACATGTAAACCTAGTTAAAGCAGGGACGAACCAGAGGTCACTTGACCTCCTCAACTTTGGAAAGTTTCCTATTATTATCATCTTATATCATAATAATAGGCAATTGATTGCATGATATGATAAAATTTTCAATGAAACAATTAATTAACATAGGAAGGGAAAAGTTACTAACCTTTATTAAATAGGTTCTTGGTTACAATTGTAAATTATAAAGACTCAAGAGAAGTCATGCTCCCAAGCATTTGAAGAGATTTATTGCTGAAAGTACTGTAGCCTACCCAACTTCTGTCAAATTCTTGAAAGTGGGCAATTCTAAATAAAGCAAAAGAAATATATAAGTGGAATAGTAAGATATACCATAAACTAAATTAATGTTTTATTATATTTACAAAATAAATTTAAAAACAAAATAAAGCCTAAATCAAACCATAATGGACAATAAGATATAGAATGATCTATGAGACTAGAGTCAATCCAGCATTTCATATTCTGAATTAGGTTTGGACTATCCTTTCCAAAACCCTTTTGGGACAAGTTATCTCATGGTACTTATTAAACTCTTTAGTGTAAGATTAATTGAATGTCCCAAACCAATTAACTAATATTTCTAAATTAGAAATTGTTATCATTATCAATATTATAAATAATAATATAAATGTTATTTTTAAAATTATAATCAAATAGTTAATGAATAATACTAGACGTTAAATTAATGTATACTGAAGTTTGTATAAATAATTTGTTTATATAAGTAACATTATTCAAAATTTAATATTAAAAAGCGTTCCATTTTAAATTTAGGCATAGGCCATAAATAAGAAATGTCTTAATTTATTCAAAAAGCATAATCTTGTGAAGATTATAATGTTTGCAGTTGAAAGAAGCGATTTCATTTATTAATCAAGTTCATGCATGAATAACAAGCAGCTTGGTTGCAAATATGTTTTAATTTAGCTTATATGTCAACCAAAAATACATGACATTGTTAATTTCCAATTACAAATTAATTTAAGTTGTAAGGAGAGGGAAAAGTTACTAACCTTGGTCAAATAAAGTGTCGTTGAGGTTACTTCCATAAATACCAATTGACTGAAGAGAAGTCATAGCTCCAATCATTTGAAGAAAGTTGTTGTGAAAAACAGTGTTCCGGATAGTTAATTCTATCAAATTCTTGAATGAAGGCAACTCTACAAAAGCACAAAAGTAATATTTATTCTCCCCTTGAGATTTATGGAACATCATACATACAAACTTGATCACCTCAAAAGTTATATCAAGTATTTTTCATATTATCGTTGGTTATTGTAATTTAAAAATATTTGTATTATAGATAAAAATAAATTTGAAATTTAACAACTTATAGTTAAGTTAGCAAGAAAAGTTTTGAACTTTGTCCCTTGTTAATTAATTAGATAGCTACTTTTTATAGGAGGCTTGTTACTTTTTCTATTTATACATTTGACACTTTAGTGCCGTAATAATGTTTAATTTCCTGATTAAAAATTATAAATTTTACTTGTAAGGAGATGAAAAAGTTATTAGGAAGATTATCAATTTAGGACCATTTATTTTAAATACAATAAGGGAAAGACTGTAAGTTATAAAACTTGATTAAAAAGGTCACTTAACACCTAAATCTTGTTTAAATTAATTTTTTTAATGACATTTATTGTAATACCTTTTTTAAAACTTAGTAACTTATAAAAATATAAAAAGACTAACATAACTCTGAAAAGAAAGGATATTTTTATTTTGCTATAAATTAATAATAACTGTAAATTAATATTTTTCTTTTCCTTTAAAAACATTACTTTTTTTTTTTTTTTTAATGAAATGGGGGTTAGTTTTATATTTCTGATATTGGCGGGTGCTTACATATTTTATGAAAACTATGGGGGTTTAGTAACAAGTCCCTTAAAGTAGTTATAAAAGTTATTGAAAAGAGTCAACTGCTAATTTATAAATTACTTATTAATAGGTTATGCTTGATTGAATTGGAAACTAAAAATTAATTAAACTTGTAAGAAGAGAGAAGTATTAACCTTGCTCAAGTAATGTGTTTGCTAGATTACAACCGGTCAGAGATAGACTCTCAAGGGAATGGCACGATCCATTGAGTATTGCAGGGAAGTTGTTGAGAGTCATTTTACCAAAACTCACATCTTTCAAACTCTTGAAAGCAGGCAAAACTGGGAACAATATTACTCAAAAAATGCAGGATGTTAATTGAATGTTCTTGTTAGATAATATGTGATATATATGATTAATCTAGAATTCTAATATGCAGACGATTCATGCTCCTAACTAATTTTATGCCTAATTTGTGGGACAAGTTATTTTCTAGAAGAAAACTAGTTATACAAATTAAAAACAAGTCAATTGGTAAGGAGAAAGGGAAGTATTAACCTTGCTCAAGTAATGTGCTTGGAAGATTACAATCATCCAGGTATAGAGTCTCAAGAGAAGTCATGCTCCCAAGCATTTGAAGAGATTTATTGCTGAAAGTACTGGAGCTTACGTCCAACTCTGTCAAATTCTTGAAAGTGGGCAATTCTAAGTAAAGCAAAAGAAATATATAAGTGAAAATATATAAAGATATACCATAAACTAAATTAATGTTTTATTATATTTAACAAAATTAATTTAAAAAAATAAAAAGCCTGATCAAACCAATATTGNTTTAGAAATCAAAATTTTAAGCTTTTTCCATTTAGAGGAAAATGACTAATTCTCAACCTTAAAGTGGTAAAACCAAACAACCAATAAATATATGATAAAATATTCATTTTTTTTCTAGAGTATTTAGAAGTGAAAACAAACAGTGCAAAGCATAGTAAAAATGAAGTTTTTAAATTAAATAATAATAATAATAATAAAGCTTCAAGTTGACATTGCATAGGCAAACTTAGTGCGGTTGTAGTCGACCCTTTAAGGTTTAATAACTAACAAACTATCCCTAAGATTTCAAAAATAACATGAATCCCCTTACCGTTAGTGAGCTGTTAGTGAAATGTTAGAATTTACAATATGATGACATTGATGAGTGCCTTTTATTTTAATAACTTAACAATAAAGGGATTTTTGTTATTACTATAACTACAGGGAGATTTTAAACATTTGATTATGCTTAAGGGGAATTATTGTTATGAACCCAAATTATTTCATAAAAAATCATCTTGTATATATAATGTTTTGGTAAAAGAATATTCTTTGGAGATTATGTTTTCTATATTAAATGGATTCTAAATTAATAAGGAGATATGATTAAGAAGATAGGATATTTAAAAGAATTAAAGAGATAATTCACTGATTTATCATAAATTACTTAATGATATAATATATCTTTTAATAACCTAATCCTTTTAGGATTCCTTATTAAAGACAATAATATTAAAAGATACTGCATTATGATAAAAGATTTCTACAGGATGTATTATTTCAGCTTTTAATGAGAATATTAATTCAAATGGGAAAGAGATAATCTTAGGAGGAAACCAAATGCCTATAATCTTAGGATTTTAGGGCTACAAAGAAACCTAACATGATAAGGTCACAGAAGCCGCTATATAAAGGACTTTTGCTCAAAGGGTAAAGTAAATTCTTTTAAAATCTTAAACACGCTTATTAGCTTTTCATATGAGTGGCTAACTAGAGTGTTAGAATGCCTGAAGTAACTCTAAACCAAAGGAAAGACATAAGAGGGATTTTCACCTTGAATGAGATTCTGCATCAACACATCATATTTTACATAAAAAAATATTGAAAATAGATTAAGCAATTTATTTTTTCAGAATATAAGTTTTTAAGATTCATTAACATTAAATAAAAGTAAAATCTCTAAATTTTGGTGTCATCCTCGATAGGGCTTTCTTCAACCACCAATAACATTATTGATTAATAAATGTATCATTTGAAATTACAAAATAGTTGGCACCCTATAATTTTATTGCTCTATTCATGAAATGATAGTAAGATTAATCAAGAATATGTTGGCACTTTTTACATCAACAAAATGATTTCATATTTAAAGAGAACATCAAAACATGCAAGTTTGCAAGATATGTAAATATAATCCAATTAACTATTTCATGATCAAATCACTTAGGGAGATGATCTACAACATAATAGTAGCAGGATGTTATCCACAACTCAATAATATAGAACCATCTACGACGCCAATAAGGGTTTATGAGTAAAACTGCAACAATCCCTAAGAGCACAATTACATAAGACACAACAAAACTAATATAGAAGATATCCATATCAATGAAATCTTGCTTCTCCACTAATACTTGAACCTTTTGGTCTGTATAGGTGATTCAATTGCATTGCAACTTTTGCGCAATGGTTGTCCACAAAGAAATGGATTTCCCTCATAGCTACCTTCTTCAAAGGTTGAAATTGTGCAATCATATCAGGATTTTTTCCCGATAAATTATTGTGTGCCACACTGAAAACAGCCAAATATTTAACTCTACAAGCTGGGGAGGGATTTTCCCACTCAAATTGTTATATGAAAATCCAAACTCTCGACCTGCTTGAGATTTGAAAATGTCGGTGGGATTGTCCTGTCAAGTTGTTGTGAGAGAGATTAGTGCATGGATTCCAACAAGATTTCCAATTTGATAAGGAATCACACCAACTAGCTTATTGCAGGAGATCAATCCCAGACATGTAGGTGAGAATTTTCCTTGGTAAGAGTAAATATATTCTTCGTTTTAAACTCTACATTTTCTTTCCTTTCTATTGGAGATTCATATGGAGCCCCAGGAAAATCAGTAAGGAATCAGAAGCAGCAGCAGAGTGACATGTGATATTTAAACAAGGAGGGATATGTCCTGATAGCTTGTTGTGAGAAAATCTATCAAGCGTAATTGACTTAACTTACACAAACGAATTGGCACTTCACCTTGAAAATTGTTATTACTCAAGATAAGGTAAGTTAAATTAAAGCGTACCAATCCAATCGGAATGTTGCCTTCAAAGTGATTATATCCGATATCTAGCGTCGTTGAGAAGAACTATTAGAATCCATCATTCGTCGTCCCTGTAACTTATTTTTTGACAAATGACTTGTTCAATTGATGAAGGGGGAAAGCAAAATGGTAAACTCCCAGTAATATTGTTCTCTGAAAGGTTATAATCTTCAAGACTTTCTAGTTGACAAAACTCTGTTGGGATTGGACCTTCAAGATGATATTTGATTATTATAATATCTACCAAATCTAACATATTTCCTAACCACCTTGGTAATGTGCCAACAAGATGGTTATCACTTATATACAACCCTTCCAAGGAGCAATCAGACAAACTATCTGGGATCTTTCCTGTGAAATTATTGTCATCCAATTGCAACTAACAATTTTTTAGGTTAAAATTTGCAGGGAAATATTTCACCTTGGAGGCTATTATTTGACATACAGAATTGTAGAGAACACACCCATGGCCAAATGATGAGGAATTCCTCCAATCAAGAAATTGTTGGACATGCCAAACTTTCCAATGAGTTCATATCACCAATGAAAGGGAATGCTACCATTTAAAGCATTTCTTGATGTTTAAAGTTTTTAGCATGTAGTAATAAGCTCCAATTTCAGTTGGAATATGCCCATGGAAGGAATGATGGATATATCTAATTCTTCCAAAGACAAGTGAGGATGAATTGGTAATTGCAAGGCCCTGAAAGAGAATTGTTAACTAGAAAAGTTTTTCTAGCTTGGTATTGTTTTTAACCACCAACTGGAAACTTTCCCGTCAAATTAACGTTTGAGAGTCAACTTCTTGTAAGGCATGCTGACTGTAAGAATTTGGGAAATGAACCACTATATCCATAAGCGGGTAATACGATGGAATTTAATTGAAAATTTGGAGTCAGAAATGTGACTCAAATCCTCCATAGATCTCATTATTCTCACCTAAAGATCTTAGTTGTGAATGGTTAAAAAATGGTTCAAGTGAGATCGGGATTTGGAAATGATTGTCCGAAAGCCTTAACTCTTGGATGGATGTTAGCATCTTAAGAGGGGATGAGAGATGTCTCCTGTAAATGATTTAAAGAGATGTCTAATACTTGAAGGGAAGTCAGTTTGCAAGACAAAGGCAAGGTACCCCCTAAATCATTGTCTTCCATAAGTAACTCTCGAGATTTACCAAGTTGCAGATTCCTGCAATACAACATGTTCTTTTACAGTCACTTTAAAGCATAAGAAGATATAATTGTGGAAACCATTAACGTGTTATATGTGTACTATCTTTCAAAGTCGACCCTAAATTTAATCTATTAACTATAGATCCTTTGATTAATGAATCTATAGTGTTATTTTAATGAATCATTGGTTATATTTGTTAGAAGGAGAGCCAATTGGTATAATAAATTTAACGTGCAAGGAAAAGGAGAAGCTATATACCTTCCTCTAACACCCATAAGGTTTGAGAGATACACTAACATAACCAAATAAGTTGATCAACTCAATGTTTGGTAATGACTGTAGTTTATATCATATTTAAGGTACAAAATTTTGCTGAGAATTTATGTAATTTATTGTACTCTAATCCTAATGCAGTTCATTCGATCATTATTTATATCCTAAGAGAAAAGTTTAGATGTTATAATCTTTTCCTAAATATTTTTGTACAATTATCCCCATTCCTTAAGAGACTTTCTAGTATAAAACTAATTAAATGTCCCAAACAATTAACTAATCTTCTAAATTATAATTTTTTTATCATTATTATATTTTAGATAATAATAAATTGTTAATTTTAATTTAATTTTAACATTATAATCACCATTTAATGAGAATAATAATCAATTCGATATTATTATATTCTAAAAACATGTAAACCTAGTTAAAGCAGGACGAAGCCAGGGGTCACTTGACCTCCTCAACTTTGGAAATTTTCCTATTATTATCATCTATATCATAATAATAGGCAATTGATTGCATGATTACAAATTTTCAATGAACAATTAATTAACATAGGAGAGGGAAAAAGTTACTAACCTTGATTAGATACGTGTTCTTGAGTTACAATTGGAAATTGATAAAGACTCAGAGAAGTCATGCTCCCAAGCATTTGAAGAGATTTATTGCTGAAAGTACTGTAGCCTACGTCCAAGTATGTCAATTCTTGAAAGTGGGCAATTCTAGTAAAGCAAAAGAAATATATAAGTGGAAATATATAAAGATTACCATAACTAAATTAATGTTTTATTATATTTAACAAATTAATTTAAAAAATAAAAGCCTGATCAAACCAATATTGGACAATAAGATATGAATGATCTATGAGACTAGAGTCAATCCAGCATTTCATATTCTGAATTAGGTTTGGACTATCCCTTCCAAAACCCTTTTGGGACAAGTTATCTCATGGTACTTATTAACTCTTTAGTGTAGATTAATTGAAGTCCCAAACCAATTAACTATATTTTAAAATAAATTGTTATCATTATCAATATTATAATAATAATATAAATTTATTTTTTAAAATTAAATCAAATAATTAATGAATAATACTAGACGTTAAATTAATGTATACTAAAGGTTGTATAAATAATTTGTTTATATAAGTAACATTATTCAAAATTAATATAAAAAGCGTTCCATTCTAAATTTAGGCATAGTGCCATAAATAAGAAATGTCTTAATTTATTCAAAAAGCATAATCTTGTGAATATTATAATCAAATCTTTATAAAATTAATGAAGAATAATAATCAATTCGAATATTATTATATTCTAAGAAAACATGTAAACCTAGTTAAAAGCAGGGACGAAGCCAGGGGGTCACTTGACCTCCTCAACTTTGGAAAGTTTCCTATTATTATCATCTTATATCAATATAATAGGCAATTGATTGCATGATTACAAATTTTCAATGAAACAATTAAATTAACATAGGAGAGGGAAAAAGTTACTAACCTTGACTGACATGTTCTTGAGGTTACAATTGGAAATGATAAAGACTCAAGAGAAGTCATGCTCCCAAGCATTTGAAGAGATTTATTGCTGAAAGTACTGTAGCCTACGTCAAGTATGTCAAATTCTTGAAAGTGGGCAATTCTAAGTAAAGCAAAAGAAATATATAAGTGGAAATATAAAAGATATACCAAACTAAATTAATGTTTTATTATATTAACAAAATAATTTAAAAATAAAAAAAGCCTGATCAAACCAATATTGGACAATAAGATATGAATGATCTATGAGACTAGAGTCAATCCAGCATTTCATATTCTGAATTAGGTTGGACTATCCTTCCAAAACCTTTTGGGACAAGTTATCTCATGGTACTTATTAAACTCTTAGTGTAAGATTAATTGAATGTCCCAAACCAATTAACTAATATTTCTAAATTAGAAATTGTTATCATTACAATATTATAAATAAAAATAAATGTTTATTTTTAAAATTATAATCAAATAATTAATGAATAATACTAGACGTTAATTAATGTATACGGAATTTGTATAATAATTTGTTTAAGCATGAATAACAAAGCATTGGTTGCAAATATGTTTAATTTAGCTAGTCCAGATAAATTATGTTTTATGTCAACCAAAAATACATGACATTGTTAATTTCCAATTACAAATTAATTTAAGTTGTAAGGAGAGGGAAAAGTTACTAACCTTGGTCAAATAAGTGTCGTTAGGTTACTATAATCAATTGAATTGATGAAGAGAAGTCATGGCTCCAATCATTTGAAGAAATTGTTGTGAAAAAATGTCCTCGGATGGTTAATTCTATCAAATTTTTGAATGAAGGCAATTCTACAAAAGCACAAAAGTAATTTTATTATTCTCCCTTGAGATTTATGGAACATCATACATACAAACTCGATCACCTCAAAAGTTATATCAAGTATTTTTCATATTCGTTGGTTTTGTATTTAAAAATTTGTATTATAGAAAAATAAATTTGAAATTAACAACTTATAGTTAAGTTAGCAAGAAAAGTTTTGAACTTGGTCCTTGTTAATTAATTAGATAGCTACTTTTTATAGGAGGCTGTTACTTTTTCATTTATACATTGCACTTTAGTGCCGTAATAATGTTTATTTCTGATTAAAAATTATAAATTTTACTTGTAAGAGATGAAAAAGTATTAGGAAGATTATCAATTTAGGACCATTTATTTAATACAATAAGGGAAAGACTGTAAGTTATAAACTTGATTAAAAAGGTCACTTAACACCTAAATCTTGTTTAAATTATTTTTTTTAATGACATTTATGGAAACCTTTTTAAAACTTAGTAACTTATCAAAAATATAAAAGACTAACATAACTCTGACAAGAAAGGATATTTTTATTTTCTATAAATTATAATAATGTAAATTAATATTTTCTTTTACCTTAAAAAATACTTTTTTTTTTTAATGAAATGGGGGTTAGTTTTTATTTCTGATATTGGCGGGCTTACATATTTTATGAAAACTATGGGGTTTAGTAAAATCCCTTAAAGTGTTATAAAGTTATTGAAAAGAGTCAACTGCTAATTTAATTACTTTTAATAGGTTATGCTTGTTAATTGGAAACTAAAAATTAATTAAACTTGTAAGAAAGAGAAGTATTAACCTTGCTCAAGTACTGTGTTTTAGATTACAACGGTCAGAGATAGACTCTCAAGGGAATGGCACGATCCATTGAGTATTGGCAGGGAAGTTGTTGAAGCATTACCAAAACTCACATCTTTCAAACTCTTGAAAGCAGGCAAAACTGGAACAATATTACTCAAAAAATGCAGGATGTTAATTGATGTTCTTGTTAGTAATATGTGATATATATGATTAATCTAGAATTCTAATATGCAGACGATTCATGCTCCTAACTAATTTTAATGCCTATTTGTGGGACAGTTATTTTCTAGAAGAAAACTAGTTATACAAGATTAAAAACAAGTCAATTGGTAAGGAGAAAGGAAGTATTAACCTTGCTCAAGTAATGTGCTTGGAAGATTACAATCATCCAGGTATAGAGTCTCAAGAGAAGTCATGCTCCCAAGCATTTGAAAGAGATTTATTCTGAAAGTACGGGACTTACGTCCAACTCTGTCAAATTCTTGAAAGTGGGCATTCTAGTAAAGCAAAAGAAATATATAAGTGAAAATATATAAAGATATACCATAAACTAATTAATGTTTTATATATTTACAAAATTAATTTAAAAAATAAAAAGCCTGATCAACCAATATTGGACAATAAATATGAATGATCTATGAGACTAGAGTCAATCCAGCATTTCATATTCTGATTAGGTTGTACTATCCCTTCCAAAACCCTTTGGGACAAGTTATCTCATGGTACTTATTAAACTCTTTATTGTAAGATTAATTGAATGTCCCAAACCATTACCTAATATTTCTAATTAGAAATTGTTATCATTATCATATTATTAAATAATATATAAATGTTATTTTTAAAATTATAATCAAATAATTAATGAATAATACTAGACGTTAAATTAATGTATACTGAAGGTTGTATAAATAATTTGTTTATGCATGAATACAAGCAGCTTGGTTGCAAATATGTTTTAATTTAGCTAGTCCAAGTAATTATGTTTATATGTCAACCAAAAATACATTACATTGTTAATTCCCATTACAATTAATTAAGTTGTAAGGAGAGGGAAAAGTTACTAACCTTGATCAAATAGATGTCGTTGAGGTTACTATATCATTCCAATTGACTGAAGAGAAGTCATGGCTCCAATCATTTGAAGAAGTTGTTGTGAAAACCAGTTTTCGAGATGATAATTCTATCAAATTCTTAAAAGTAGGCAAATCTGCGAACATTACTCAAAAAAATATAATGAAATTGAAGGAGATATACTTATCCTAATAGCATATTCCTTAAAAGTCTAAAATTGGTGCATTTATTTTTTGATAGACAACATCACTAATCTATAAGACTACATATTAGAATTTCAATTTGACATTTTCTTATGAGCATTTAAAATCTGAACCAAGTTTTATAATACAGTTTTTTTTTTTTTTTTTTTTTTTTATGTTTTTTTTGTAGTAGTTTTTACGACTATAAATTTTGAGATAATTATAAGAGGATATTCCTTACCTTGTCAAAAAAAAAAAAAAAAAAAAAAGGTTATTAATAGCAAAATCATTGATAATACTAGCAACAAATACTGTATATATGATGTTGTATTTTTATTCTACTCTATGTATAATAAAAAGAAGAAAAATATTTTTAATTTCTTATCAATGGTATAGATAGAATAACCCTTGGTAAATAAATGTAGTTTACCAATTCAAAAGTAAATTTTCATTACAGTAGTTCAGAATATAATTTATCTAAAATTAATTAATTAATTAAATTATAAGAGCGTTATCAATTAAGACAGAGGTAAGTGTAAATTAATAATTTACTAATTTAGATTAAAATCCATAAAATTTAATTCACTTGTGAAGAGAGTGGAATTACTAACCTGGATAAATAGTGTGTCTTTGAAGTACATAGTCCATTGTTAATCTGAAGAGAATCATGCCCCAATTTGATAAAGTTATTGTTGAACACATTAGACATGCTCAAACTTTCCAATTCTTGAAAGTCGGCAATCTATTAATCATCATATAAAAAATGAGAAAAAAGTTAAGAAGATAATGGGATGTACACCCATTCGGTGCACCTCAGTGTAATACTAACATTTAATTTAATTATTATCCAAAATTATCAGATGTTACCCATGAGACACCTTAATTTAAACCAATTGAAATCCCCACTAAAGATCTAATATTCTAAATATAATAAATTTATATTATTAGGAATAGGTTAGGCTATATAATAACCTAAAATTCTTGATTTAATTTTTTTATCAAATAATAGTTACTCTTCCCTTAAGGAGTTACTTTTACCTCCTTCATCCATTGATTACTTTAATTCTATCATAAAAATTATTGTCACTATTTAAATCAAGAATTTAAACTACCATAATCTGACATATGACATTAATATTATTATAATAATAAATGAATGATGTATCAATAAACATTTCAGTCAACACTACAAAGAAAAAATATTAATAATTAGCCTGAATTAATATTATAAACAAATTCTAGTCTTTTGATTTAGAATTGGTTTTCTTAATATTAACCTTCAAGTTATAATTGATAAACAAATATTTAGTTTCACTTTTAAAATTTTCTTACATAGAGTGTGTACTTTATACTCATAAGATATAAGATATATTATAATTTTTTTTTAATTTAGCGCGTAATGAACATTTATTGATAAAAAGATTTTAAAAATTGCTTAAAATACAGATTATTAATTATTTAGTTATTTACTTTAAAATTTTTTTATAATCTTATCTATAATGTTTAGAATTTAATTTTTTGTTATTGATTTTTTCCAAGTAAAAATTAATTAACTTGTAAGGAGAGGGAAAAGTTACTAAGTTTGGTCAAATAGAGTTTCGTTGTGATTACTACTAGTAATCTCCATAGAATTGAAAGGAATCATACTCTTATTAAAAACTTGATTAAAAAGGCCACTTAACACTAAATTTTTGTAAAATACTGTTTTAATGACATTTACTCTAATACCCTAATTAAAAACATAAAAAGACCTAAACGTACAATGACAAGAGGATATTCTTATTTGCCATAAATTAATAATAACTAGTAAAATATTTTTCTTTTCCTCGAAAAAAATTATAACAGTTTTTATAGGAAAACAACTAAAATATTTTTAAAAGAGCTAGAAAATACAAAAATAAAGATATTCAAAACAGAAAAAGAATTAATTTCTTATAGTCTTTTGCATGGAGCCGCTATTATTGTAACTTAAATTTTTATGACAATAATTTAAAGGAATGTTTTTTCTTTTCTTTTTTGTTGAGCAATATTAATGTTACTTTCAATATTATTGTAACTTACCATAAGTAGTAACTGCTCCACTAGAGATGTTAAATGATAATCTAATAGACTTTAGGGATGGGAATAAGCCCAACGTCTGAAAGAGACTGCTTCCATCACTAATAATCAAATTCGATAGATAAACTGCATTCAACTTCCTCAAACTTGTTTCACCTGTATGTTTGTGAAAATATTCAAACAAACACAAATATTTTCAATGCTTTCTCAGATTGAAAAATAAAGTTCCTTCAATTTATCTAATTTAATAATTAGAATAAATACATTCTGTTATTGTGCATCTCATAAAGCAGAGGAATGTTGGTAATCGATTAGAAATGTAAGTTTACCATATTTTTTTTTTAGTTAAATATTATTAATCACCAATACATACCTTTGGAGAATACAATTTTTTTAATCTCATTTCCTCCCATGGACAGCTCCTCTAAGTTGGTCAAAGAGTCCAATTCTGACAAGGGTTAAAACATAGTGAGTTAAAAGTAATAAAAAAAGTATTTAAGAAAACTTTAATTCAATGCACTTAATTTTGTTGAAGCCAATGTGAAAGTCCTTCAATGATGAAAGACCAACTAGAGATATGATAAGATGCTATTAAAATATTTTTATCATCAAAACTTAATTAACAACTTTCTTTAAGCTAATATTAATTACTTCTACATATTCTCTCTAGGCTTCAATATTGTCTTTCTAAATGAATATAAGTTTAATCCCTATTGGCAAATCTTATTTTTGCTCAATTACTTTACCTTCTTCGTGTTCGTCAAAAAGTTTAAGTACAAAGTTAGCTAAAACCATGAGAAAATGAAGATGTTTGGATAGAGTAAACTGAAGTTTCCAAAAGAATCTTAATCAAAGCTTTTAATTTACTTTAATGCAATTTCTCTAACTCTAGTTTGTCAAAGCAGAGAGCGAGAGAGCCTTAAGTACAAAATAAATTGTTATACATAAGAGAAATTATAGATGAGAAGCAAGCTTACCTCGAAGATCAATGATGCCTTTCAATCCGATGTCAGACAGATCTAGTTGTTTTAATGATGAGAGAGTAGACACATATGATAATATGCTATTGTTGAATTTGTTACCGTTTAAGCTTAGATACTCCAAGTTACTCAACCTTGAAACTGAAATCGGTCCAATAATAATAATGATAATAACCATACATAGTTTTGTGTATCAATCTTAATATAAAAGTTATGCCATTTAAAAGAACATTACGATTACAGTGGTTTAGTTCTTTTAATCTAGATTAAATTCTCAAGAGTTGAATGTTCACTCAAACTTGATAAAACATGGATGTCATTGAACATATTGTAACTAAGGTCGAGATTCACAAGATTAGTCAAGTGTAATAATCTTTCAAAACCTACAAAACAATTCTTGTTAATAAAGACATGGAAGTAAAATTTCATTATTTAAAGTGAGGATGAAAAACCTTTGTTCTCGACGCAACCAGCTATAAGATTGTGACTTAAATCAAGTTCCTCTAGTTCTTGGAATGGAGAAAACAAAGAAACATTTAGATACCACTCTCCTAAATCGGGATTTCTTGTAGAGGAGAGATGAAGAGAGATCACTTTGCCAGTTGCTTTGTTGCATTCAACATTTTCCCAATCACAACAGTCTGAATTCCCATCTCCCTCAACCCAATTTTGAAGATAAAATTGATTATTGAAGAAACGTTTAAGTTGCAAGAGAGCATATCTCTCTTGCTTCAAACACCCCTCAATCTTCCATCCTTGTAAAGAAATAAACGTGAAAATCAACATCAACCACAACCTCACACATTTTAACCCCATCTCTTAATAACACACTAATCACACTGCTTCTGTGACTGCCAAGAGATTAGCTTTGTGCTATTTATAATATTATTAGATATCACTATTGTATTGACTGGAAAATAAAAGTATTGCCTTTTCACAATAAATAATTTTCAACTAACAACTTCATTTGTTGTAGAGCATAGAAGTGGTCAAGAAGGCAAAATCAATGTTGGCCCCCACTGTTGTGGAAGGAAAATTCCAAGTGATTGCAACTAGCCTGGAAAAATCAAATTACGCGGTTTGAGACTCCTCTACCATAACTAATTTTATTAAGTAACATTAGATTGTTAAACACATTTTATTTTTTGTAAAAAAATATATTGTCATATAATATGTTGTTTGAGTGTGTTTGACAATTTCAATTAACAAAATCAATTTCTATATATTTAACAATTTTTAATTTATATACATCCATATGGTATACATGAAAAGGTTTAATTAGTAGCACATTTTGATATTTAATCTTTAAAACCTTTTACAAAATGGATTATTTCATAATAACGCATAGGCGCATAACCACTTTTGAAATGAAGTTAATTATTAATCACTTCTTAGTTGTTAGTTTAACAAATAAATGAGTATTTTATTAAACTATAGCAACCTTAAAAATGAACCAATTAAAGACCTGCAATGACTTGGTTGTTAGATAATAAGAAGCAAGACCTATAAGTGTTTGATTTTAATAAAAGGAAAAAAAACCTCAGTGCTTTTGAAGATAAATTACAAAAACAATACTTTGTAATATTTTTTATGAGTCAAGGTCAACCAAAGTAATAAGCTTCTTGGAATCTCTCTATACATTATTGCAGAAGTCTTTTCCTACGCAATTGATTGGAAATTCATAGACTATATATTTTCCAATAAAGTAAAAGAGGACAATATTGTTTTCTTCAATAATTATAATTGATGAACAATTCAATTGTGGGACCTAAGTTATGGAAAAAAGGTTCATGCTGATGATATTGTTGTATTGGAAAATCAATTATCACATCTCATAAAAATCTATTTCATGAAGACTGACTCAAACATCATAACTTTTGAGACTTAATACAATTTCCATACTTGATTTTTCAATGGGGGCAAGAAGTCTACACAAAAATTAATTAATGTAGAGTCAAGTCATGGAAGAAAGATCGGAAAACCAATTACCACGGCTCAAAAACATCAATTTCGTGAAAACACATCCAGCTCAAGAATAGACTTTGGCATTATCTTATCTTATTTTAATGATTAAAACCATGTAATTCAAGATACATATTACTCATATATATATATATATATGATGAATAATATGGTTTTATATTTGTTAAATTATTAAACAATTAACATTTATGTTAAAAAAAACTTATTATATCTCTAATTTAAAAAAAAAAAAATTCGTTAACATGTAGATTATAGTTTTTCTTTTAAATTTAAATAAATTCTATTAACTTTTACCCAATTTAAAATTTGATTAAATCACATAGTAATGAGATAAACCCTATATTTTTAATATTAGTGCACAATCGACTAGATTTGGCCGGTCGTGTGCCGAGATGACCTTTTTCAGCCAGATCTACCGTGGATCTGACCAAAAAATGCCGGATCTATGGCCAGATCTGGCTGTCAACAGTCAGATCTGGTCATGAATGACGATCAAAGATATGACCGTTGTTAACGTCCAGTTACGGCCAAAGATCTGGCTATCAACAGCTAGATCTTTGGTCGTGGATCTGATCTTTTTCGGCCAAATCCACGGTGGATCTGGTCGGAAAATGATAGATCGGCGCACTACTAGCAAGATCCAGTCGATAGTGTGTCATTATACTAGATTTCGGTCATCTTCCGACGGTGGCCGCCAGAATCTAGCAAATGTGGGTGGGTAGGGTGTTTTTGTTAATTTTTAAACTTTTTTTTTTCTAGGGGTGTTTATTAAATTAATAAACTTAAGGGATCTAAAAGTAACTGAATAAAATATAATAATATTTCCTAAATAATGAAACAAACAGTTATTTTGATAATATGATTAAAATATGATAGAAAATAATGAAACAAATGAGCCCAATTTATTTTCATGAAGATTGACTCAAACATAATGACTTTTTAGACTTAATACAATTTCCATAGTTTATTTTCCAATGGGACAAGAAGTCAACTAGTCAATACACAAATTATTTAATGTAAGAGTAAGCCGTGTAATAAAGGTTAGAAAAACCAATCAAAGACATTTCATGAACACAAATACCTAACACGTTAATCACTTTTTGTTTGTTAGTTTGACAAATTAAATGAGTATTTTATTAAACTACAGCAATGAGCCAAGGACCTGCAAATTGCAATGACTCATTAGGATTTAGGATAAGAAAGAAGCAAAACGATACTTCGTGGTATTTTTTATAAGTCAAGGTCAACTAAAGAAACAACCTTCTCGGAATCTTTATCTACATTATTGCCTGGGGTCTTTTTCTACCCAATTGACTGGAAATACGAACTCTATTTCCGAGAAAATAAAAGAGGATATAATATTGTTTTCTTCAGTTATAATTGATGAACAATTTAATTTAGGTTTTTAATACTAATACATTGGTTACAATAGTGTTGAGATCTTTTTGTGGTTTTTTTTTTCCAAAGATTTATTTTGATTTTATGTCGCTCTTGGAAAAGTTAATTTAAAAATTAGGGATAGGAATAACTGATATGGAGAATAGGAGATTTTCATTAGAAATAAAATATTTTTACATTTATCGATAAAATAAAATAAGAGAATATTTCTAACTTATACGAGAAAATCCATTCTAACCCGGGTTACACAAAATCAATTTTGAAAGGACCAAATTCACCCATAGAATTTATTTATTTTTTAATTTGAGCTATACAAAATGGATATGTTAGTGATTTTTATAAAAACTTAGGGTTATTAATAGAACTTTAGAAGATGGTATAATTTTATCCACAATCATTATTTTCAAGAAATATTACAAACCCTCCTGAGATTATTAAAAGCCATCTTATGATCATTCTGAGTGTTCTTAAAACTTAACAATCTTGAATGAGTATATAATAACCCTCAAAATAGTTTCCATTGCGTTCGAAGTAAGCACAAATTATCTTATTCTCCCTTGCTTAATTTTATTGCTTTTTATTCTTGTGGGTAAAGTCTCTCACAATTTTCAATTTATTCTTTTTATTATTGTAGGACCAAGTTGTGGAAAAAAAGGTCATGGAAAACCAATTGTCACGACTCATAAACATCTATTTCATGAAGACTAACTTAAACAATACGACTCTTGAAACTTAATGCAATTTTCATACTTGATTTTCCAATGGGACAAAAAGTCTACACAAAAAAACATTTAATGTAGGGACAAGTCGTGAAAGAAAGGTCAGAAAAACCAATTATCACTACTAAACGACATCAATTTTGTGAAAGCAAATCCAATAAAAGAATACAAGACTTTGACATAATGTGATGTTATTTAAACTATGTAAGTCAAGATACATATTACTCATATATGCATATGGTGAATAATATGGTTTTATATTTGTTAAATTATTAAACAATAAACATTTATTATAGGTTTACTTTTAAACTTTTTACATAGCATGCTCCAAGCAAAAAATATATAGTTGTATGATGTGTCTATTCTATTAACTTTTACACAATTTTAAAATTTGATTAACATCACACACAGGCAAACCCTTATATTTTCATATCAAGATAATGATATTATGATTTTACGTGGATTCCACTGGAATTTGAACACAGGTAGTCATTAATGATGCTTGATGGTTGAAACATGATAATGATTATGATAGTTATTGAAACAAAAAATCATATACATCTCATTTTATTAATTAAGATTATATTGTTAAATACATTTTATTTTTTGTAAAAAAATATATTGTCATATAATATGTTGCTTGAGTGTGTCCGACAATTTCAATTAACAAAATCAATTTCTATATATTTAACAATTTTTAATTTATATACATCCATATGGTATATATGAAAAGGTTTAATTAGTAGCACATTTTGCTATTTAATCTTTAAAACCTTTTACAAAATGGATTATTTCATAATAACGCATAAGCAGATAACCACTTTTGAAATGAAGTTAATTATTAATCACTTCTTGGTTGTTACTTGTTAGTTTACCAAATAAATGAGTATTTTATTAAACTATAGCATCCTTAAAAATGAACCAATTAAAGACCTGCAATGACTTAAGTTGAATTAAGACTCATCAAGATTTAGGATAAGAAAGAAGAAAGACCTATAAGTGTTTGATTTTAATAAGAGAAAAGGGAAAAAAAAAACCTCAATGCTTTTGAAGATAAATTACAAAAACAATACTTTGTAATATTTTTTAGTCAAGGTCAACCAAAATAACAGGCTTCTTGGAATCTCTTTATACATTATTGCCAGAAGTCTTTTTTCTGCCAAATTGATTGGAAATACATAGACTATATATTTTCCGGAAAAAAGGTTCATGCTGATGATATTGTTGTATTGGAAAATCAATTATCACATCTCATAAAAATCTATTTCTTGAAGACTGACTCAAACATCATGACTTTTGAAACTTAATGCAATTTTTATACTTGATTTTTCAATGGGCCAAGAAGTCTACACAAAAATTAATTAATGTAGGGCCAAGTCATGGAAGAAAGATTGAAAAACCAATTACCACGGCACAAAAACATCAATTTCATGAAAGCAAATCAATTAATGTAGGGCAAGTCATGGAAGAAAGATTGGAAAACCAATTACCACGGCACAAAAACATCAATTTCATGAAAGCAAATCCAGCTCAAGAATAGACTTTGGCATATCTTATCTTATTTTAATTATTAAAACCATATAATTCAAGATACATATTACTCATATATATGCATACGATGAATAATATGGTTTTATATTTGTTAAATTATTAAACAATTAACATTTATAATATCATTTATATTAAAAAAACTTATTATATCTTTAATTTAAGGAAGAAAAAAAACCGTTAACATGTAGATTATAGTTTTTCTTTTAAATTTAAATAAATTATGTTAACTTTTACCCAATTGAAAATTTGATTAAATCACATAGTAATGAGATAAACCCTATATTTTTATATCATGATTCACTAAAACATCACTATAGTGATACTTTCTA